AAAAAAAAAAAAAAAAAAAAAGTTTTTAAAAAGTTTTTTTTTTGTTTTTTCCAATTACAAGTACAGCGATTTTTTCGTACTTTTATAATTTTTAAAGTCTTTATTTAATTTTTACTTTTTAAAAATTTTTAAACACTAACCCCTATTAAACATAACACAAAAAATGTTATACTCGAGAAAAAATTTGACAACGTTTAATACCCACCACCCCCCTTTCCTTTAACCCCCCAAGAGAGCGTGACAATATTTATGAACGTTTCCTCGTACACAGTCCACAGACACTTTCTCAATAAAATATTTAATTCTGGTCCACAGGGTCCACAGGTATGTAGTAAAATGCACTTTAAAAAAAAAAAAAAAAAAAAAAAAAAAAATGTGTTTGTATATGTACATATATTTAAGTCCAAGGTACTTTTCACTCCACATGAAACGTTTATATATGTAGTCGTAAATCTTAACATAAATCACGTTTTTCATTTGCATGAAAGGAAAAATTGTTTGCTAATTTTTCTATTATTATTATTTCAAAAAAAAAAAATATTTCACTGATATTTTATAACACCTACTAATATTTTTTAATTTATTTATTATTAATAATTATTTATTGTTATGAAAAAAAAATTTATATATTATAAAATCAATCAAATAAATAAAGAGAATAATATTAATAATAATATAAATAATAATAAAAAATTAAAAATAAATATAAATAACAATAATAATAAAAATCAGAAAAGTAAAATGATGGTAACAATAATATAACTATTTTTATTATTAACATTATTATTTATATTTTATTATAATTTAATAATAATAATAATAATAATAATAATAATAATAATAATAATAATAATTTGATATTTATACCTCTATCACGAATGATTTTTTTTCGTTTTTAAATTAATTATTTTCTAACTTAATTTCAATTTATTATTATTTTTTTTTATTTTTATTACATTAATAAAGAGTCAGTTACATTATTTTTATCGATAAATTTAATTTGTTAATTAATATTAATATTTTTTTTTTATTCATATACATTTAGACGTATATAAATATTTTCTACATTCCTGCACGTGATTGTTGATAAGAAAATGAAAATCTCAACTGTAGAAAAAAAAACCAATCAATCGCCTGAAATTTTTCGCGATTATTTATAATAAATACGTAATGCAAAATTTTTATAAAAAATATTTTTTTTTTTTTTTTTTTTTTTGAAATATTGAATTGTAAGATAACAGAAAAAAATTTAATTTTCATATTTATATTATTTAAATAATTGTGAATTTATTTATATTAATATTTTCAGTAAGTAATTATTGGTAAAGTAAGTAATTATTAGTAAAAAAAAAATAATTATTAGGTATTTTAAAAAATACATAATTTTATGGCTACAGAAATAAATAATTGACAGTACAAAAAATTTGTACTAAACTAATTATTAGTAAAAAAAATAACTAATTTTTGGTACCAAATAAGTAAACTAGAATTTAAAAAAAAACTAGTTATTAATTACTAAACAATGATGAATTATTATTTACTAAAAAATAACTATTTTTTAACTATAAAAAAATAGTAATTTAATTTAAAATTAAAAAACTTATTACAGTGTAAAAAATAAATCTTACTTTCAGTATAATTTCAATATTGCAAAAATTGACGTAATTGAAGTTTAAAAATTCAAAATTTAAAGAAAAAATCAATTTTTATAAAATTCTACAAAATAATATTCAATTATTTTCAAAAAAATTTTTCTAAATTCCCAAAAAAATTAAATTATGTTTTAATAATTTTAACAAAATTCTATATAAGAATTATTAAAGTATTATATTTTCAATAAAATTTTAATTAGGTACATTCGTCGAAAAAAATTTGCAAAAATTTAATAAATTTAATTATTTTCACAAAAATTCCAAAAATAATTGAATAATTAATTTTTATAAATAATATGAATAACTACAGCAAAATATTAGATATTTAATTTATTATTATAACATAAATTATAGTAAATTTCTAAAATTTTAATAAATCAAATTCAATTTTTGAATAATTTCAGATTCGAAAATTTACAAAAATTCAACTTTAATAAAATTCATTTAAACAATTTAATTATTATTAATAAATTTTTTTTTTTAAATTCTAATTTGAATAAAATTCTATATATAAGAATTGATTTTTTTTCAATAGAATTTAATTTAATTAAATTCGTTGAAAAAATTTGCAAAAATTTAATTAATTTCATTATTTTCACAAAATTTCCACAAAAATTCTTCAAAAGAATTCAATTACTTTTTTAAAAACATTAATAAAATTCTTCGTACGAGATTGTTTTTAATATAATTTTAATAAAATTTCTCTAAAGAATTCAATTATTATTTATATAAAATTCTTTAAAAAATATCAATTATTTTCAATAAAATTTTAATTGAATTCCTTATTCCTGAAAAGAATTAATTATTTTCACAAAATTTCCATAAAATTTTTCAAAGCAATTAAATTATTTTCAAAAATTTAAATAAAGTTCTTTTAAAAGAATTCAATTATTTTAATAATTGTAACAAAATTAAGTACTTCGTAGGAATTCAATTATTTTCAAAAAAAAATAAAATTTAATGAAATCAAAAATATGGTAAGAATTTAATTTTTTTTTATAAATAATAACATTCTTCCCAAAGAAATTCAAATATTTTAAAAATATTAAAATTTTTTTGTCTCTAACCTATAGTTTTAACCTCAGGACCAGCCACTGCCATTGCTGCCCAGCAAACAACTAAAACTGTTGCAAAAAGAATTGCTGAATAAGTTTTCATTATTGATTTTTTTTCAATTTGACTTCAAAAAAATGTTTTGGAATATTTGAATGAATTTGAAATTTTCTTGCCTTTTTATACTCGAACTGTAGTATTGTGTTTATTATCAACCATTGTTACATAATAAATATTATAATTGTCGGTGATAAAAAAAAAATTATTTTTTATAGTTCAGGAAGTTAGTTAAAAATATTTTTATATCATCAAACAATGTATTTATCGTCAATAAATGTAAAATTGATAAATAAAGGGACAAAAAATTGTAAATATGTATACCATTTAAAAAAAAAAAAAAAAAAAAATTTGTGTATAAATGATACTTACTTAATTTTAAAAAAATAATAATTGAATTCTTCCGAAAGATTTTATTAAAATTATTTATTGAAAATAATTGTTATTTTTGTAATTATTACAATTTTCTGAAATAATTTGTGAGAAATAATTTGTTTACCTTAAAAAAAATACCTAAGTATAAAAAAAAATTTAGGTTTATAATTTTTTGCCTTGGAATTTTATTAAAATTTTTGAATATTATTCAATAATGTATTTTGAAAAATTTTATGGAAATTTTGCGAGAATAATAATGAAATTCTTTTGAGTTTTTCAATTAAAATTATTTTAAAAATAATTTAATTTTTATGAAGAATTTTATATAAAAAATAATAATTGAATTTATTGGAGAAATTTTATTAAAATTAAATTGCAAAAAAAAATTGAATTCTTGCGAAGAATTTTATTATATATGTATATGAAAATAATTAAATTTTTGCAAATTTCTTCGACGAATTTAATTTAATTAAACTTCTATTGAAAATAATTCAATTCTTATATAGAATTTTATTTATTATTATTATTTATTATTATTTATTATTTGATTTATTATTTTATTTAATTTTTTTTTAAATTTTTTAATTTTTTTTTCTTTTGTGAATTTTTTTCTTCAAAATTGTATTGAAAATAATTAAATCTCATTCGAAGAATTTTATTAAATTTTTTGAAAATAAGTGAATAGTTTTGAAAAATTTTATTAAACTTTTATTAAAAATTTTTGTTTAAAAAAAATGCTATAATTTCTATAAATTATAATTTTTTTTCAGAAATAATTTTCATTATTATTTAGAATTTTATATTAAAATTTTTGCAAAAAAAAAATTATTTTTTTTTTTTTTTTTTTTTTATCAAAGAATTTTATTAAAATCTTCGAAAAAAAATAAATTCTTTCAATGAATTTTGAAAACAAATATATATTTGTGAATAATTGAATTTCTACGAAGAATTTTATCATATTTATGAAAATATTTTAAATTTTTCGAATTTAATAATAATAATAATAATTAAGTTGGGGGTGGTAATGGTAAGAAAAATTGGTGGAGGGAGAGGGGGGGGGGTGGAGAGAATAGAAAAAGGTACAATTTGCGAGTCAAATAGTTTTGCAAGTGGAGCAGAACTCACGATCTACTCTCGTCAGTTCACGAGAGAGAGATACTCTATGCGGAAAAAGTTGGCCTGTTACGCGCTCAGAGACTTTTTCCATTCTCGATATCATAAAACTAGAACTGTATAAATTTTGCGCACCGAGCAACAAAAACCGACCATATTCGTTGCGAGATGCACAAAAATTTGCTGATTCAAAATAAAAATCGACGTGACGTTTCACTTTTATTTTAATCAATGAATATTTATTTGGAACAAGCAATAAAAATATATTTTTCACCACCGAAAAAAAAAAAAATATTTTTTACCCCCGAAAAAAAAAATATTTTTCACCCTCGAAAAAAAAAATATTTTTTCTATTATTTTATAACTTAACTTTATCATTTTTATTTTTTATTTCAAGTGTTTTACTTGTGATCAAAAATTTTTTTTTTTAAAGATAAAAGTCAAAAATAAGATTAAAAAATCTAAATTGGTTATCATTTCAAGAATTTCGAGAACGAAAATTAATTTTTTATTGAATGTGCGAAAACTTCAAATTTTTGAAAATTTTTGGAAAGAAGAAAAAAAGATTGTTTATAGTTTAAAAGTTAAAAAAAAAAAAAAAAAAAAAATTTGAATCTATGGGCAAAGTTTTTGACATTTTTTACCCATGGATTAAAAATATACAAAAAATAATTTTGACATAATGTTTACCAACTGACAGATTATAATAATTTCATGATTCTTTTTTTTTTAATTTTAGACAAAATTTACCTGCGCTCAAGAACTAGATCTACGTCATGATAATTATACACCAGAACACCAAATACCGGTGAGTTTTGTCCCTTCTTTTGCCACCATAGAGAACTTAAAATTTAAAAAATAAATTTTATTTTTTTGATTTAATTTTTAAACAAAAAATTCCACTAATCATGCTTGATGATAATGTATTAATTATTGATTTAAGAGCACACAAAAATTATCACAAAAAAAAATGAAAAACACTCGCGCACCAATTTGAAATAAATTCGCGCGCAATTTTTCGAAACACGCGCGACTCTACAAAAATTTCGATTGGCGTCGCGACGCTCACTGTTGAGAGTGCGTCGTCGTCGTCGTCCTCGTCGTCGTCGTCGTTATGTACCGAAGAGACCGGCTGCGACTGCACAGGCAAATCTGAATCGGATAGCCGTGAGGCCACTCGTGAATGTCGCTTGTTTAATACATGCAACAAACCAACAACGAATCATTGCCTTCCATCGTGTGTCAGGAGTGTGGAGAACTTTTCTTCTCGTTTGTCTTGTCTCATTTTTGGTGAGCGTGCGGGGAGCACTTCTTTTTACATGCAAGCACGCACGCACGTGTGCGTGTCATACACTCTATACTCTCAAAATGGACCAAACTTTGACCATGACTTTTTCGATACCCCCACCCCTCTGCCAAAAAAAAATTCACTATTTCATTTTTGTATTTAAATTTATTCGAGTACATTTAAAAAGTTGGTAATTACTGTTTTCTATAGTAAACAGTTAATTAGCAGAAGATGGAAAATTATTTTAAGCGAACTGTATCTTCTATTTACTAACAATTTTTAGTCATAAAATTATTTACTGGTCCTAACTTATAACAAGAACAATTCCAGTTAATATCTGCGTCATAAAAAATTATTTTATTCACAATTCATGAAAAGTAACCACAGCCGATAATCAGCAGAAGATGAAAAATTATTTAGAGCGAAATTTATCTTCTGCTTACTAACAATTTTTACTCATAAAATTATTTACTGGTCCCAAACTATTGCTAGAATAATTCCAATTAATGTCTGGGTCATAAAAATTAATTTAATTCACAATTTTTAAAAACTAACCACAGCCGATAATCAGCAGATGATGAAAAATTATTTTTGAGCGAAATTTACTAACAATTTTTAGTCATAACATTTTTTACTGGTCCTAACTTATTACTAAAACAATTCCAGTTAATATCTGGGTCACAAAAAAATTATTTAATTCACAATTCCTAAAAAGTAACCACAGCCGATAATCAGCAGAAAATAAAAAATTATTCTTGAGCGAACTTTACGAACAATTTTTAGTCATAAAATTATTTCCTGGTCCTAACTTATAACAAGAACAATTCCAGTTAATATCTGGGTCATTAAAAATTATTTAATTCACAATTCATAAAAAGTAACCACAGCCGATAATCAGCAGAAGATGAAAAATGGTTTTGAACGAACTTCATCTTCTGTTTCCTAACAATTTTTAGTCATAAAATTATTTACTTGTTCCAAACTATTGCTAGAATAATTCCAATTAATATCTGAGTCGTAAAAAATTATTTAATTCACAATTCATAAAAAGTAACCACAGCCGATAATCAGCAGAGGATGAAAAATTATTTAGAGCGAAATTTATCTTCTGATTACTAACAATTTTTAGTCATATAATTTTTTACTGCTCCTAAACTATTGCTAGAACAAATTGTTCTCAAAATCTTTTAAAACAGGCAAAATTCGAGATTATTTTTTAAATTCCATACTATTTCCAGGTTTCCCTTACCTTTTTCTAAATTCCATACCTTTTCCAGGTTTTCCAGGATTTACAGGCTTTGTGGTAACCATGACTAACTGACTAGCTAACTAACTAACACTACCGGTCAAAATTGAGAGACCACCCATTTTCAGGTGATTGAAAAACATTTTAAAATATAAAACGTATGGAATGTAAAATTTTTTTCTTTTTTGAAAGATAAAGATTTAAGATTTAATTAAAATTTTTTTTTTTTTAATTTTTTTTTTTTTTTTTTTTAATTTAATTATTTTAATTTAATTTAAGATTTCGACAATATTTCATTTAGATATTTTTAGAAAAATCGTCATATTCATTGTTTTACAAAAATTTGAATAACTTCTAAAAGTTCTAAAATAATGAACGCTTTTTAATGATCTTAGGCTTATTTTAAATGTCATTTGCCACACTATAAAAATTACTTATAGGCCATTAACGTGTAATTTTTTTCTTAGAAAGTGCAGACCGTCAAACTTGGACAAAAAAAGGTTCAAAAAATTTAGAACAATTTTTCTGTACGAAAAATTATTCTAGAAAATATCTAAAACATCATATTTTGTCGTTTTGTAGATTATTCAAGAAAATTTAATAAAAAAAAAAAAAACGTTTGAATCTTAAAAATTATTTTTCTGTTATAATAAGAATGTTTCTGTTAAACACCTGTAAATCACATATGGGGAATATTTTTGAACCAATTTACCTGAAATAAAACAAAAGGGTGAAGGTCAACATGCGTGCAGACAATCTCTATATATGTATATGTATTTATAATAATATCTTCCATGCGCGCGGATATGATATTATTGCTCTCTAACCGAACGTGCTTATTATTCAGGATTCGTGTGGTTTTCAAAGCCCATCGCTCTTCACGCAAGCGAGTTTCTTTTTCTATTTTA